TGACCATTTAACCGATCCGCGGTCCGGATTGATGGTTTTTTTCGGTTAAAACCGGACCGTGAACACCCCTAATGCCGATCAACTCTACACAAATCTGAAGCTTTTCCCTTGTTACAATTTTCGTCATCATGTCAGCAGGGTTTTCGTCAGTGTGAATCTTTTCCAACTTGTTGTTCTTCAAATGTTTGACATAACTAATGATATCTAACATTAATGTGCTTTGTGCGAGAGTGATACATCGCATTTTTACTTAAATCCAATGCGCTTTGACTATCGCAATGAATATCGTACCTTTCATGCTTCATTCCTAATTGTTGAAGAAACCTTTTCAACCAAAGCATTTCTTTTTCTGTTTCTGTCATTGCAATATACTCGGCTTCAGTAGTCGACAAGAAAATATATTTATGCAATTTAGATTGCCAAGATACAGCTCCTCCTGCGAATGTAACACAAACAATGAAGTAGATTTTCTACTATCCAGTCACCTGCCATATCTGGCATATGTATAACCTTCAAGAACTGGTTTTCTTTTACCGAAGCTTAAGCATTTATTTGCACTGCCTTTTAGGTACATCAAAATCCACTTCACAGCTTCCCAATGATCCTTCCCCCGGATTGGAAAGATACCTGCTAATAATTCCAACCGCGTGAGCGATATCTAGTCTAGTACAAACCATGGCATACATCAAAATCCCGACTGTCGAGGAGTATGGAACACGCACCATAGCTTCTTTTTCTTCTTGATTCGTTGGACAACTTCGTTTACTGAGTTTGAAGTGATTGGCCAACAGTGTATTCACTGGCTTAGCCGATTTCATGTTGAATCTCTCTAGAATTCGATTTGCATATCGTTCTTGCGATAACCATAACATCTTAGATTTTCAGTCTCGGATCTGCATGCTCAAAATTTGTTTTGCAGTGCCCAAACCCTTCATATCAAACGACTTTGACAATTTCTTATTCAGATCACCAATCAACTTCATATTCTGCACTACTATCAACATATCATCTACATAAAACAAAAAGATAATTAATTTATCATCTGAAAATTTCTTAACAAATACACAATGATCTGCATCAGTCTTCGTATATCCGTGGCTCGCCATAAACGAGTCAAATTTCTTGTACCACTGTCTTGGAGCTTGTTTCAGTCCATACAGACTCTTCTTCAATCTGCAAACCATCTGCTCCTTTCCAGTCTTCTCAAGTCTTCGTAAGCCTTATCATAATTCTCTCTAATCTTCTTGCATTTTTCTTTGTTTTGTTTGTTCATCCATAGCGCGTTCTTATGGCACCATTTGATGGGTACAAAAGTGTTTTCAGCATCTCACATTGGCTCCCCTTACTTGTGTGCCTATTCTCATTGCTCAAAGAACACTGTAAGTTTGTCGCATTTTCACAAACTCAAAACTCGAAAAACATCCTCAAGTGTGCATATTTTTTTATATATTTTAATCTTTCAAGAAGGAATTGTAGTTCTTCTGATCAACATGTCAAATTCGATTTGAGGTCACGGTAGCTTATGAACGAATTTGTACCCCAACGAAAGCAAGTCGTTTGAGGATAGCAAGCTTTCGGATAATGAGATACTCAGAGAAGAGTATCATTTGAGCCCAGAAAATAGAAAGATTCAAAGTGATGATGTGTTGCTAAATGGGACGCCGTTGAAGCTCACAGAAGGATATGAAATTCTAGCTATGAATCCGAAGACGGTGGATTTGAATTTGCCAATATAATGAGAATACAGTTATCTCCATATATATTGATTCAGAACATGCTGAGCTCAAGTGGCAGACTTGCATTCTTCGGGATCCTATGTGGCAAAATTACATGCTTCGTTATTAGGCTTGGGTAGATTTTGATTTACTTACAATCCAAAAATCATTAGATCTAAATTATCCATAAATATATTAATTATTTTAATATCATTTCTTATTATAACTATTAAATTGTAAATATATTTTAAAAGTTACTAAGTTTTGTATTATTTATCAGTTTTATATATATCATACATCAAATTAATCATCTCTTGATGAACTTCCATTTAATATCCATATATAATAAAAAAATTTAACAAGCACCCGTTTAATACACTGGCGTTCTACTAGTTTAATTTAATTTTAAATGAGACTATTATTTTATATTAGGGAATTACTTTTACAAACTACTTTTACAAGTATCAAGAGAATTCATAAAAAAAAAA